TGGATCCAGGTAAGAGACGTCAGCCCCTGCAAACCCCTGTACTTAATGCCGCAGCCCCCCTAACATGTGTACCGGCGTATAAGACGACCCCCGACTTTTGAGAAGATTTTCAAGGGTCAAAAAGTCGTCTTATACGCCGGCAAATACGGTATGTTCTTTTTTTAATTTCGGATGAAAAATCTCATACAACAGCTTTGCACACACTTACGTATATTCTGAGAGCAAGACCCTGTTGCTGTCAGAATCAACAGATCGGTGCTACACCTGAATTGCATTTCTGCAAAGAAAACAGCAGTGGTTAACAATAAAACAGTAACTCAATAAAACAACTATTTTTTTATTTTTTATTTTTTTATTTTTTTTTTATTTAATTATTATTATTTTTAAACTGTATTTTACAGATTTTAGGGTCTCTCAAAATGCAATAGCCAGTTTCCTGACTACCTAACATCTTTCAAGACCCTGTGTATATATGTGCCCTAGACTGTGCCGTGCTGTACTCTATACTAATACTCCACTAGTGTATGGTAGCGATGGAAGCATTCCTTGAGACAAAAACCAGGTTGGCCAGGACAGGTGGGACCAAAAAAGTGGGTGCCATGCCTAATTCCATGTCTGCTACAGACACATCTTTTTTGGGGTGACTTTTGAGTTGGGGTACCAGGAATGGCATCAGGAAAATGCCTCTCATGCAGCTGACTAACTACATCTGTGTTGGGGGTTTGGGCCACAGCACCTTCTGCATCCAAAAGGGCCATGATGATCTTTCTCTGGAATTTTAGGAAGGATCCACTTCTTCAATTGCTTTGTAAAGCTCAAAAGCGTTGTACAGAGCCAATTGAAATAAATATACAGACACTTTTTTGTACCAGCGTCTGGCGAGGGACTTCTCAACAACACCAGCTGCCATGGAAATTAAGATGGTCGTATCTGTGTGAATGGAAGACAGGACAAAAACATCCCGTTTGTCCTTCCACTTCACTGTGAGAAATTCATCATTTTTCAAGCAGGCGTACTCCTCCTTTCTAAGATGGGTATTTACAAGCCATTGGGGGAAGCCACGGCGATTAGGTAGCACGGTGCCACATGAACCAATTCCAAGATTGTACAAATGTCTAAATAGTGGCACGTTTTTTTATAAAAATTGTCCATGTCTAAATGGTACCCCATATGGAAAAAAGGTGACACCAAGTCCCAAACTATCTTGCCACTGCTCCCCATGTAGTCTCGGCATCAGGGTGGCTCCACGTGACTATTCTCTCGCAAATTTTAAAATTACATGTATAGCCTGTTGCCCTCTCACAGGTCTTATACATTTTGACCCCATATCTTGCATGCTTGCTGAAGAGAAATTGTTTGAATGTAAGGTGGCCAGAAAAATAAGTGAGGGACTCATCAACGCAGATATTATGCTGCGGAGTATACACATATGCAAATTTCTGGTTAAGGTGATTTATGAAGGACCGCATTTTGTCATATTCAGGGTCACTCCAAGGACAACAGAGTGTATTGTCATTGAAATGCATAAATCTCATTATATTCTCATATCTATGCCTGGCCAAGGCAGCAGAGAACACAGGCATATGATGAATCGGGTCTGTTTACCAATACAACAGCAATGAATTTATTTTAGTAATGCCCATGTTGAGGGTTAGGCCCCAAAAAACTTTAAATTCGGACACTGTAATAGGTTTAAATGCAAGTGGTCTGGCAAGGTTTGAATTTGGGTTGGTAGCGATAAATTGTTGTGTGTATAAATTGCTTTGATCCACAATCAATCCATACATGTCTTCCATGAAAAATAGCTCCAAAAAATCAAGGGGAGTAGTTAAATTAGCTGTTTCCACCTGAATTCCGGGTTGGACAGTGAATGGGGGAAGTATGGGTGCCGCAGAATTTGTGGGCTGCCAATCAGGATTTTCAAGCACATCCAGAAGGACACTATGGGCTCTACGGGCCTGTGTTCGAATTCTTGGTGGCTGCGGGATACTACTTGTGCTAGCCACTGCACCAGCTTGTACTGCACTTTTGGGACTCACCATGTCAACAAGTGATACTGCAGTGTTGGTATGAAAAAGACTAGGATATACTAGGCCGCTGGTGCTCGCTAGTTCACCAAAAGGTAGTGTGGCACTAGTACTGGCACTCTGCTGCATATAAGAATCTTCATGCAATTGTAACACCTCAGCAACCTTGGGATCGGGGCCGGGTACGCCTGACCTTAGCAGTGACCTGTACTCCATTGTCTGTGCTATCTGTCAGGGTGCTGCTGCTGTCTACAGGTTTATATTCTGAGGCGGAATATGTCAGTGAGGCTTCCTTTTCGTTTTCATCTGACATGCTCAAAATACTGTAGGCCTCTTTACTAGTATACCTTTCGTTGGCCACTAAATTTATAGGTACCTAGTGCGACTCCCGGGAAAAAGAGCACCTGGCTATTAGGGACTGCTTGGACCGCTACAAAAAATTTACCTGCTAGTGCTAGCAGAGATCAGGCCTGTTCTTGCTATCCCTGCACTTTTGTGTGCAGTGTATCAAGTGACAGTGATCTACTGAGACTGCACTTGCTGGGGGAGTGTGTGTGTGTGTGTCTGTGTGTGTGTGTGGGGGGGGGGGGTTAAGCATAGGGACTAAACGCAGGTGCTTGCAGGTGCCAGGGCTGATCCTGCTAACGCTGCGTTTTTCGGGGGCACTATACTATTGTGAATAGTGGTATAGTGCTGATCTGATCAAAGATACTGATCTGTTCAGACACTATACTAGCAATGGAGGTTTATTGTGTATGTGAGCATGTTCCTGGCATTCAGGTTAATTGTGATGACTGATGCAGTGGCGGACAATCTGACACTATCTGGGAGGGACACTTACTGAAGCTAACGCTATCTGAAGTCGCCTGTGACACTAATACAGTGATCATTAAAAAAATCTGTACACTGTACCAATGACACTGGTGACAGGGCAGTCAAAGGGTTAACTGGGAGGCGATCAGGGGGTTAAATGTGACCTATCAGTGCTTTTACTGTGTGTGTGTGTGTGTGTAGTGCTTTGACTCACATGGATCTGCTTTCTCCTCCCTCTGGAACTGAATGTGTTTCAGGGAGAGAAGATTGCATAATTTCCTGTGCCTGTGTAATGTAAACACAGGCACAGGAAGATCTGTAATAGGGCACTGATCACTCAGCAGATCCAGGCCAAATATCACTGTTTTGAATCTGCTGACTGATCGGTGCTGCACTGAATCACAGTGCCAACGGGCGCGTGTGCGCTCACCCCTGGCCCGTGAACACGATGGGAGTGCAGATCAGATATATATACGTGATTTTGCAAAGGAAGTCCGCCCTTTACTGGTAAAACTGCTATAGGGCGGAGATTAGCTGGTTAAAAATAATGTGGGAGCGTCTACCATTTTGCTTTTTTGCAAAGTACAACAGGTTATGGATATGTTTCATAGAAATATTATGTTTGTTTTATTCTGCATTGTAAAAAGTTATCATATTTGCCTTCATTTCAGATAGATTAGATTAAAACCCCATCAGTTAATTTTTTGCAGCCTGTGTCCCATTGGGGAGATTTTCCTTTCCTTTTTCTCCCCTACACACAACCGGGAGTGACAGGCGATCTCTTCAAAGTGAGTGAAATGCAGTCGTCACTGCAACAAGTATCCCCATTGAGGTATTTCCATCTATTACTGGTTTAGTGACATACCAAAGTTGAAGAGTCTAGAAAGTCTAGACTAGGGGTCGTTGGCCCAAGTCCCAACCACAGCACCACCTGCCTTGAGCTTGCATGTTCTCCCTGTGCCTGCATGGGCTTCCTGCAGGCACTTCAGCTTCCTCCCACACTGCAAAGACTTGCTGTTGTACCATTGCTGACAGCGGAGTTTGAGCAGTGAGGGACACCAGACCAGACTTTTCCATCTTAAAGGGACCTCCAGGTTACTGAGAGTGTTATCTCTAAATGTGCTCTTTGATTGCGCATCTGGTGAGTGCACAGTCTTTACATGTTTTGCCACATCACCACCATACAGGATAAGATCACCAGATATTGAAGATCATCATGATCTATGCACTTCACTTTGGACTATATGAGGATCATTGATTGATTTCTTGGCACCTTACACACCAATGGTCACTACAAAGTGACGTAATTTATCACTATTCAGTTACTTTATTTCATTGCCATCACTTTACCACCGGGACCACTTTTATGTATTTATTTGCTTTATTATATGTACATATATGCATATTAATGTTTGAGATTTTCACTTTTCTATGATACCACTGAGTCACTTTATTGCAACCAGCACTTTGTCACCGATTATTTTATGATCTCTTTATTATGGTCTGCAGATGATTATAACTATTTTAGCGCTACACCCTATTTTTGTTTGTATTTTTGAAGGTTTTCTTGGTACCTTTTGGTGTTTTAGCAGCTATTTATGACTTCCAGCGCTCACTTATCCCTTTTTGTGCTAAACTAGGTGGACTTTTTTAATCTAACTATGCATATGAGGTATTCGGATAATTCACTGTCATCCTTTTTCAGATCAGTAAATCAGACCAATGTAACAAGGATAATGATGTCTCCCCCAGAGCTAGCATCTTAAAAAAACAAGTCTGCAGTGGCAGCTTTCGTATTTGCACCTGACACATTCCCTAAAATAGATTATATAAAATAAAACATCACATATACTGTAGTTTTATACAATTCTTTCAAGCATACATAATTTTAACATATTGAGTATAATTTTGTTTTTATTTTTCATTCAAACAGATTTATTCCATTTAAAGTAAAAGAAAAGGACAACAATGCATCATGGGAATGGTCCCTCAAACACTCCACGCCAGCTTCAAAGGTCCAGATCATTCACTGGCAATGAGGGAGAGGAGACATCCATGCAAACAAATTTGCCACAGTCTCCTGCACCTGCTCCATCATTTGCACCAGCGGTCAGTTCACCTGGACCCCAGTCGCCAAGTTACCAGATACAACAATTGATAATGAGCCGCAATCCAGTTGCTGGTCAGAATGTGAATATTACACTTCAAAATGTAGGACCAGTGGTTGCAGGAAATCAACAGATAACACTGACACCACTGCCTATCCCTAATCCCGCCTCCCCTGGATTCCAGTTTAGTTCCCAGACAAGGAGGTTTGAACATGGATCTCCTTCCTATATTCAGGTCACTTCTCCAATGTCTCAGCAAGTCCAAACACAAAGCCCAACACAGCCTAGTGCTGTGCCAATCCAAGCATTGCAAGGTGTTAGAGCTGCTACAGCTGGAGCTAGCTTGGGAATGTGTAGTCAGAGTCCAACACGTGGTTTTGTGGATGCTAGTGTCCTGGTGAGACAGATAAGCTTAAGTCCTTCAAATGGTGGACATTTTGTCTTTCAAGAGGGACCTGGACTTGCACAAATTGCACAGGGAGCAACAGCACAGGTACAGCTTCCATCTGGTGCTGCACAAGCCACAATAAGAGAGCGCAGGCTTTCACAGCCTCATTCTCAGACCGGAGGCACTATTCATCACCTTGGACCCCAAAGTCCCGTGGCAAGTGGGGCAAACCTGCAGACCTTGACCACACCAAGCCACATAACAACCACCAACCTTCCCCCCCAAATCAGCAGTATTATACAAGGTCAGCTTATTCAGCAACAACAAGTTCTTCATGGGCAGCAGCTGGGCAGGACCATCAGCTTTGATAGGACTTCTGGGGGAATGATAGCTGGAGTAGCTGCAGCTTCATCTTTTGGTATAACGTCACCTCCTACCCCTACAAGTCCATCACGAATCACAGGTTCCCAGGCACTTTCTAGTCTTTCTTTAACCCCAACAGTAAGTACAGTCAAGAAACAAAGTAAGAAGCTTGAGGAAATTCCTCCTGCAACTGCTGAAGATGCACAGATGAGAAAGCAGTGCTTGGAGCATCACAATAAGTATATGAAAGGCATGAAAGAAAATTTCAAGGATTACTTGATTGAGCTGTTCTTCTTGCAACATTTTCAAGGAAACATGATGGATTTCTTGGCATTTAAAAAGAAACCTTCATTGGGTCTTCAGGGTTACCTCAGGCAAAATGACTTGGACCTAGAAGAGGAAGAAGAAGAAGAGGAGCAGTCTGAAGTTATAAATGATGAGGTAAGGTTGGTTGTTCTTCCATTTCTTAAGGCATTGCTTACTAAATTATCTTCTAATGTAATGTCTTTTTTCATGAAGTCTGCCTTGCACCTCATCTCAATGCACTTTTATAGAAGTAATGAGTACAGATTATTTTAGATAAATTTAGATTGACAAATTGCATATTTCTGTGAAGCTGTGTAATAGTACTCTATGTAAATGGAGAGCATTATCTGTCTTGTTCCTTGCTTTGCATGCTATCTACTGTATCTTTTTGGAACTGTTTTTAATTTTGGTGCTCAGATCTATGTACAGTATTCCACAATTTTAGCATAAATGACGGGTAATAAACATTGTCCATTGAACACACAGACCGCTTTAACATATGTACAGATATACAAGATAGGTGGTGAATATTGCTTGGTTAAAAAGTTTTTTAGGGAAAAAATCCCAGAGCTGGTCTTGAGTTGCATGACTGCCAGTGCTTTTATAAACAACAATAGACAATAGCAACAATATGTTTTATGTCCCTGTTGAACATTTGATGGCAAAAGCATGGTTACTTCCTGCCAAGACATACATTTAGGAGAGGAAGCTCCACATTGCACATATGCTTGAAATGATATTTCCATTATAGCCATTTATCGGCCATTATGGGGCACAGCCTGCTATTTCTATTAGGCTGTTTGTGGTTTCAATACTTTGAGACAATTCCCAAAAGAAGCATGGAGCAAGTTACAACTCCTGATTTAATGTTTTACAGTTTATGTAAATGTATTAAAGTCATTGGATCAGCACAACAACCAGTAATTTAGAAGTCAACAACTGCAGCCTATGTTTTGCTTGGTTATGGGGCTTCACTGTTCTGCATTCAGTATACTTTTTCAAAATGGGTGTCTGTTAAACGGTATGGGTACATAGAATGTAAAATCTGATTTGTAGGGCTTTTAGTTAATACCATGCCATGAGCAGTGATGTATGGTAACCATTACCAACCAATCATCTTTCTGAAATCAGAACAATAAAAGATGAGAGTTGGTTGTTAAGGGTTACTCCACTTTTTGATACTTTGTATGTTCAGTATATTAGAAATAATGTACTATTTGGATAGAGTACGGAGAGATTAGAACTTCAATCACTTTTTTATTGCTGCCTGTGCCCTTCCTGTGGAGATTTCCCTTCACTTCCTGTGTGGTCATCTGAAAAGGAAGTGAATAAATGTTATCTAGTGGGAAAAAAAGATGGCTACATTTGCCCACACTTTTGTTCTGCTAAACGCACAGGAAGTGAAAGGAGTTCTCTCCACAGGGTCATAGATGGAAATAAAATGCTGACAAAGGTTCTATCCTTGCGTACTCTACCCAGGATGAAAATATAAAATGTTTTGTTTGGATTTTAACTTTATGGACATTTCCTCTATCTGAAACATTTTTTTATTTGTATATGCATTTGGCTAAATAGTATGTTCTCTTGTATATGTTTTTATCATTGATTGTTTTTATTTAATGTCATGGTTTAGAGCAAGCAGTTCATCTTCTCAGTCTTGAGTGATGCACTTATATGGAGTGGCTGTTGCCTAACGATTAGAAAACTGAGTTTATTTTTCATGATACCCTCATTCCCCTGTCCACTTAAACAGTGTTACTTCCCTGTCACGTATTCGTGCTGTGGGCACCCAAACATTTTTTACTGACAATTCATACAAGAAAAAAAGTGCAGTAATACTTATAAAGAACTAGTGATTATATTTATTACTATATCCCATAATACTTATCAGTAGATTAGTGCAGTGTAGTCACAAGTTTGACAACAGAATAAACTGATATATTTCTGCTTTATTTCTTTGTTGTCTTCCTTTTGTTCTTTCTTTTTTATTGTTTACCCACTTCTTGCTATTGCAGTGCTTCTCAGCCATCCCCAGAAGTCCTCCCTTTCTCCAAGGGTTGTGTAACCAACTATATGCTCCAGCTTCCATTGCTTCCTAAGTGTTTGGGCTCTCTTCAGTGACACCTGTCTGTCATGCCACTTTGCCTTCTTTTAGAGGTGGAGCAATGACTAACCAGTGACTCTTGATTCCAGCTTCAATGGGAACAGACAACCTGGTATCAATTATTGCTCTGTGTACAACTTAGGGCAGACCACCTTGGTATCAAATTTCCGCATTACAATTCTTCCTGACCTTCAAAAATTTAATCAGTCTTAAAAACAAAAATTTACTTTTGCACATTGCAACAAAATGCAATATTGTATGCTTACATATCTGAATCCATATAAATATGGGTGAAAAAAATTTCCAAACACAAATGATTTTCCCTGTTCTTGACATATTTCCTCTCAGGTAAAGATTGTGACAGGAAAAGATGGGCAGACTGGTACTCCTGTTGCTATAGCAACCCAGCTTCCTCCTAATGTTTCTGCTGCTTTTTCATCACAGCAGCAGCCATTTCAGGTACCTTTTTTGATGGTTCTACAGTGTGGCCTCATCTCAGATTTACTTTTTTTTCCATCCATTCCAATTTTATTTTTCTAAACAGATTTTTTTATCTGTATTTCCATATTTTAAAGGCCATCCTAATCTCATAAAACTCCTTCACCCCGAGAGAAACATCAGTTTTGGAGTTTAGCCTCTAACCAACAAAGTGGGGCTACGGTGTGCTGATACTTAGCAGATCTGTTCTGAAAAGGGTTAATGATCTGCTAAGAATTGAAATCCTGTCTCTCACTGCTGCTACCAAACTCAGGGGTGAAAGGGACCAAGTAAAAGTCTTCAGATCATTCAAGTGCATGAGCCACATTTTTTTGTGATTATACACGTAAAAAGCTTGTGTGATTCTTGCATATGTTTTTAAGTTTTAATTATCCATTTTTATTGTGAAATATCCTTTTTATTTTTACCCATTGCAAATAATTATGGAGGTTTTCAGAAGATAAAATAATTGGTTTCTTAGATGTGCTTCTATTCAATCTTCAGGCAGTAATATTAATATCTGTTACCTACATACTAAAGACAACCTTTGGTGGTTGGTTATATACAAGGATACAGCCTAATTATTCCATGGGAAAGCGTGATGGTATTGGGAAGAGTTATGGTCAGTATTTATTATAGTAGGTCCATGTCAATTTAGGTGCATTTGCAAATGAATTGGTGGAAACGTATGTAAAGGAAAATTGGTTCAAACCATGTAATGTTGTTGTCCTCATCTTATCTCAGTATTGTGGGACTAAAATTATGCTGTAGAAAAGTTCATTTGTCATGACAGAAATATGGGGCTGCCATTCCCAATTACTACTTCCCAAATGCTACTTGCTTGGCTATTATACTGAGTTATTGACCAGAAAATTAACATTTATTGGCTAGACCCTTAGTGTTTTACCTGGAACAAATATGCAGATAAGTAAAGTTAGAAGGTCTCCTTGGCAATTAAGGTTCTAGTCTGTTACTCAAAGTATTGACAGACAAGCAACTAGTATTTTCAGAGAGCAAAATCGGTAATGGCAGCCTCTGTGTTTCTCTCATGACGAGTTTCCTTTAATGTAACAGTAGCATATGCTTCAAAAGGGATAATTCATACACAGCGAGATTTGGGAGGAAAGGAACAACAAAGGTGAGTACTGTCTTTGATATTTTTTATTTTTCACCATCGCTTAATTTTTCAAGATACATTTTTAAGAGCCTAATCCCTTATTCCATCTTAAGCTATCCCCTGCAGTATTACTTCACTTCAGAATTCACCAGTCTTCCAGGTTAAATGATGGCCAGCATCATTCAGTCTGCTTCCAGTGACTCCAGGCTATCATGAACCTGCCCCTAGAAGTGTATATTTGCGCTGGCCTGGGTTCACCGGAGAATACCTGAAGAGAGTGGAAGCAGGTCACATCTCTGCCGGATGCCCCGCCGCTGGAGGAAGATGAGGAATAATATGTAATTAAATCAGACCAATGACTCACGGACAAAGGTACATATGATTAATAAAAAAATTATGATTAATAAAAAAATTAATGTAAAGGGGCTACTCCAAAGGAGGGGTGGGAAGCGTGAAGGGGGGAACATTGGCTACATTTCTGCTTTATAAATTCTTTATTTATTGCTGGCAACAGGGATCACCGGAAATCAGTGACCTGGTATAAGAAGCTATGAAAAACAAAGTCAAACATTATTCATTCTCATAGTAAATGCTTCAGGAAAACCATTGTCACTGTGTCCACGTCCCTTTATCTACAATATTTAAATTCCCCCTGTCCTGCCCTGAAATTATATTTTTCTATTATTATAGAAGAAAAGTAAATAGAGCAAACACTTGTCATGGGCAGAATTTACTGACGGAAACGTTACATTTTAAGAGGTTAACTATGTTAATTTTAAAATGATTGTTTTTTTTCAATCAGCTTGAGTATATTACAGGATGCCTAAATCTGCCAAAAAGTTTTTGGAAAACCTGCTCCGAAAATGTCTGATTCTCTAAACTTCTGCTTTACGCAGGCTGATAGATTTGCACCTAGAAAGTGGAAAAATAAAGCTATAATTATGCAGTATTACGTAGGCAGGGTCTGCATTTTTAAATAGTCAGTCTGGTTTAAATAGGTAAAACTATATGTAGAATCAAGATTTTTACATTATGCGGCCCACATTCACACGTTTATCCTGAAAATGGTTGTAGGTTCCCCTTAAAGATGGTCATAGACTTGTGAGAATGGCTAGACATGCAGCCAGTAGCTGTCCATCTGGCAGCATGTGTTTTGGAAGGCTCATCATAAACATGTTTACTTGGCTTGGTTGAGCATGCATGTTTGAGTTCCTGTAGGAAACTATTTAAAAGATTGGCTGAAGGCTACCTGCATCAGACTGCACCCAGCATATCTTATAGAGTTCAATGAAGCAGTCCTTCAGTATGAGTTAACAAGTGGTTGTGTGTTAAGCAGCAACTTAGAAGGGCATGTTCCTTTCTAAATGCTTTTGTTCAGCTGAGCAGAACAGCCAAGTGCTTACGATCCATCCTAGCTAAGAGTGAGGCTGATGGATGTCGGGTTCAGTTTGCCTCTTGAATGACCATGTACGCATACCTTTTATGTGAATGGACACAGATGGAATACAGACAGACACCTTCAAGTTCTAGATTTTTATTTTCTAGTGATCATAAAACGTTTTTAGACCTGTCTAGTCAATTTTACCCTGTAAAAGTGATTAGCCAGTGGATGTTTGCTGCTTCCTCAGATGCAAGAATGTTGTCTAATCTGGCTGAACATGGCTGAATTGGGTGATGATCACCTCATGTCTGTGGGGAAATAATGCTGTAAAGTATACCATAAGTGTAATTGAATAAAAAAAAAGCAGTTACATTTTATTTACACCCTCTCACAGATACGTTCACTACAGGAGCACATATGAAATGTCACCTAATGTTTCATGAATATAATGAAGCTACATTCATTCTAAGCCCTGCTCTCATTGGAGTGTTTTTGCTTGTGCACACAGCTTCATGGCCACTTCACACGTCATGGGGAGGATTATGCACAATTTCGTTCTACATGTTTGGGGATCACCATTTGAAGAATAGCATTTTGATTGCAGATTATGTTACTGCAATTTTATAAATGTATCATAACTAGTGTGTAGCCCTGTACGACAATATTGTGCGTAGTGGATTTACAACAATAAAGCCGCCTTAAAAATTACGCACTTGCCAGGTAACTGATGTGCCTAAACCAGGGCTTGACAAATTCCAGGCAACAGGTCATCATGACGTCTAGAAATTGCGTCCTGGCACCTGGGCTTTTGTCAGCTCATTCACTTTGCAGGGATGCTCAAATCATATCGCCTGATGCAGTGGACATGCTGTTTTGGACATCGGGGAGGTGGATTTTTTTTTTCCCATTCAGTCCTGCTGTGGGCAAGCAACAGGGTTTACTTTTTTCTATTTCTACAACACTGTAGCATAAAGATTTGTGGGTGTGTCAGTGTCAAGCCATGTCCAATAGGATGCAATGGGCTGTAGATTAGCTGGGGTTACATGATTCTCCCTCCCAGCGGCTTTCTTAGTGGGCGGTTCTCCTGCTGAATGGAATAGTGCGGACAATGATGTGTGAATGGTTTATCCTCCTGGCAGGTACGGCTGGAAAAAGCTAGTATGTGCAAAACTGGCCTGGGACAGCACGGGGGGGGGGGGGGGGGGGGGGGGGGGGGGGGGGGGGGGGGGGGGGGGCGCTTCTTGGAGGTGATGGACTACTTCGGAAAATCGTAACACATCCAGCGAGAAATGTGGGACCGGGCGGAGAGCCGGGCTCTGCTGAAGGGATTTATGGAGGAGATTATCATGGTTGAGCTGGTTCATACTGAACTGTAAAGTGGCTCAGCAATGAGGTGATGGTGAGACAGTGCACCAGTGTAAGGGGAGCCCAGTGTGATACACATCTTCATGGTACAAGGACATGGAGAGGGGGGTATGGGGAGTACAGAGTATGAGAACATGGGGGAGTAGGGGGTTTGGGGAGTATGAGGACATGGGGTGGGGGATGTGTATGGGGAGTACAAAGTACAACCAATGCTACGCTAAAAAAACTGGCTCCTAGATTCAAAGCAAATCTGTCCTGGCCTAAAATTTATTGTGCTCTTTCTATAGTAAGTGGTTGTACACTAGTTCCTTAGAAGTACATATGGGAACTATATTGAAGTGTGACTTTTACCAGCATCAACAATTCAAAGTTACCATTTCAAGTATCGGTAGCAGGCAGCAGTTTCTAGTCATCGGCTATTTTTACATTATCTTTGGGGCTTTACTGGTAAGTGGTGCAAGTGGACCTTACAGTGCCCCCTTCCCAAACCTAGGTATCGGTGTTTTTTTTACCTTACTGCCAATATACTGCATTGGATGATGCTGCACACAAGTGTCATATACATGTGTGTTTAGGCATCATGGTATAACTTTTTGTTCTGAACTGGTTCATGCTGAAGTCGATTGTTTTGAGATAAGGTACATCTGCTTCAGCTGGGTGGGTTGTCATTTAATGCATTTTTTGTTAAAGGGTTCTAATTAATGTGTAAGAAACAAAGTTCTTCAATATATGGTGGCTGTGTTGGCTGAAGGCTAGCTCATTTGGTATATCATGCACCAGGACAAGCTATACCTCTGAACAATAGTACCTACAGACATAAAGTGCAGACTGGCTATGCATACAAAATCCAGTCACTAAACAACCTTTTTTGATAAAAGATTCCACAAGCATGCTCGTCAACTTTAGGGGAGGGGGGCACCCTAGACTCAGTAACACTCCTGGCATTGGCTTTTTGCAGGAGAAAACAATCAATCAAGAAAAATCTATCCTATTTTTGTCCCAAGAAGGCTTGGGCAGGGGATGTGTTCCTACCGGGAAAGGCCTATAGACATATGAACTTTTTGAACTGACTGTAATTGACTAATTTCTGATGTCTGTAGACACCTTAAGACTTCCACTTAATGATGGAAGGAGGCGAGCAGAGCTGAAACTTCAGGTACAGGAATCTTGCCACAAGAATCACCAAGAGATATTTTGACC